TCAAGCAAGAGGATACATATTCAATTCTGAAAGCACGAATGATTCCAGGAAACACCCACTTGAAGAACTTATCTTACTCAGCACCCGACGAAATAAGCTCCAACCCGAGCAATGCTGGCACGTGCGAGTTTACGCGCTTGTCGCGTTTGACGGGGCCAAGCACGTGCCTTTCTTTGGCCCGGATTTTGAGAGGAAACGCTACCGTGAGCCAACAGAAAAAAGCAAAAACACACACACACACACACGGCGGCGATAGCTTCACATTCCCCACCTCAGAGTCAGAGAATTCTTTCTCCTCTGTGTAGTCCAGGAGATCCCTGGGCTGAACCAGAGTGCGCATGCTTTGATGGTACCCTTTTCGGGAGAGGCTGCTCCATGTTGAGAGCACCGCATATCCCATGAATCTAAAAACGAGCCCACCATGGCATTGAGCACCTCACGTTTACGTTTGGCGTCCAGAACGCAAGCAAGCCCCCAGATGGTTGATTGCGCCGCCAGCGGGCCACTAGGCTCCCTGCCGATCTCGCGAGAGGAAGGACACATCACTCAGTTCCAGATCCTCCTTCAGGTCTGCTTTCTCCTTCTCCCGTATGACGCGAGCAAAAGAAGGTCGCATGCCTGGGCAGAGATGAGGCCACGCGCCGCGCGCGAAACAAAACCCCTCGACCAACTGAAGGGCTGCACGCCTGTCTGTGTCTTGTTGTTGCTAAGAACAAACCCAAACAGCTTTTCAGCTTATCAAAATGCAAGTGCGTCCTTAGCGTTCCAAACAAACAAAGCCAGATTTTACCTCCCAACTGCTTAAGCCTTGTCACATGTGCCTGTTGTCCCTGCATACCGTGTTGCCGCACTTCGCCTTGTTGATCTAGCACATGTTTCCAGGCTTAAGGGCTACAATTGCCTCGGGCATCGGGACTCGATCGCCATAACAGAATACTGCATAATCGGTACTTGCCGCTAATTCGTAGTGACTCCGAATCAAGAGTGATCTGATACGTGCGCCCCGTAGCTGGCATTTCTGTAGTTCGAAGCGACACTGGGTTGCCAGTGCCGCCACTGCGAGTGTATTTCGTTTCCAGGCCGTTGAGCGCGGAGGGGCGGCTGTGTGTGGAAGCAATACAAGCGGCGGCGGGGCAACACTGCCACAGCAGAAGTCAGATGCGCGCGTGCGCATCGGCACGTGTGCTTGGCAATGCACCTAATTGGCAGGCGATTGGGCGCGCTGCTACGAAAGATGGGGCTAGAGACGCCTGCATTGCTGCGTTGCTTTTCCCTAGACGAAGCTGGCAACGCATTGCAAGGATGCCGGTGTGGACCTGCAGCATCATACGCTATTGCTTCCCCCACTTAACCCTGTGGAAAATGATGAGCATTGCCTTGCTAAGTAACGTCCACTGGCCAGCTTGACCAAGAAGAACCGCGCAAGCATGTTTCGATTTCCAGCAGACTTGGGATGTAAAGCCTGGCAAAGCATTAGGTCTTAGTTTTTGGGCCGGGCCAGCGCCCAAACTTCAAGTTTGTGGCAGTTCTGCACAGAGGATGCCTCCCTAATCCGACTGTTGCCTCCATGTGCAAGAGTGACCCATGTGCCAACTGCCCTGCAGACTACATTGCTCAACCTACGTCCTGGTCCTGGCCCGGCTTGGATGACACTCCTTCATTCTCAGCGGTTATCTTGACATCTCGGCAGCGATGCACAAAAAGTAATATGTGCAAATTGTCAGTACTTGCACGTTTGTGAATGTTTACCATAGAGGGGTCTAAGTCACGCGAATGCGCAAGGTAACGTATGCTCAGGCAGCAAACTGACGTGTAGGTCCGATAGGCCAAATGCACACTTGTAGGTGTGACTTACAACAGCGGCTTAGTGGCTGTGGCCTAGGTAGTGATGTGGCTATATTGCACTTGTCTCTGTCTGTTTAGCCACGCAGTCTTGGAAGGGCGCGGTTGGCATTTGCTTGCCCAGCTTGGGTGGAAAGAGGACGTACTCATGCTAGTTGGAAGAGTTTCTTCAGACGCGTTAAGCACATATTTCGTACCAAAGTTGTGCTTAGACACCCAATGTTCAACTGAGCCAATGGTGCATGTTCTGCTCAGAGCTGCATGGTGCTTTAGAACGGGGCTCAGGCTTTTAATGGGCATCGGTGGGCAAACATTTCCAAACAACGTCCGTCAAAATCGCCGCTCAATCATGCTGTTATTCTGCAGTGTCAGGTGTGTTAGTAGAAGTGTCTTTTCAAGATTCCCGCTTCAAAGGTTCATTCAAACCACTGCATGCTGTTTCTCAAAATTGTCCAACAAGGCCGATTCGGATGACCAGAAAAACACAAGCGCCGCTAGCATCGCCCCAGAGTGGGCCAGTGCTAAGCAGTAGTCTCTGAACCTGGCTCCAACTTCTGCCTGGTTGCCCTCCACAAAAGTTGCGCTACACGCCGTCGGGCGTCGGTCACGCGCAGCCAAAATCTTAGATTTGGAAGGAAACAACACAAAGGATTCTAGG